CTGCCGCTCGAAAGGAATAGTTCACACAAAAATGATGGAATCATTTACTCACCCTGTTCTCATTCCACCCCGCCTGTCTTTCTTTCTTCTGTAGAACACAAAAGTGTGATTAAAGAATGGCAAAATTAGAATTTTGGGTGATTTATCACTTTAAATACCCTCCCTTTTCTATGTCCGCACATTGAATATACTTTTAACAAGTGAAACTGCAACTCAGCACTTTAACGAAACATCCTTCCTGGTATCCTCATAAAAATCGAGTTTTCCACTTTAAAAATGTTACACTTTGCCACACAGTGACACTTGACCCTTTAGCATGCCCTTGGCTAAAATGCAGTAGCACAGTATAGCAGAACTTTGCTTTGCTGAGTGTTTTAGAGCTCAAAGCTGCAGTGAAGGTAAAAACTGCTTATGCTGAACCAAAGTGTAAGGAACTTCTATATGATGTCATTTGTCCTCAATGTTTGTGACTGCTGCAGCCGTGAGATATTCTATAGCTGGGAATGTAACCTGACACAAACGTCAAGTCCCAGCATGATACACAAACTCTTTCTTCACGCTGTGCAAAGTACAACAATTTCACTTTGATGCACGTCACCTAATTAAAAGGAGAAGATTTAAAGTTACATCCAGAGTTAAATGCTAAGTATTGTTTGCTGCAGCAAAAAAAACAAAAAAACAGACAGTAATTAAAAAACACTCTGGAGAGAAACGACCCAACATCTGTTCCCAGCTTTAATCTAATTGATTTGAGTTGTGTCACTGCATGGGGTGACTTGAGTCTTCGAGAGACTTTGGATATCAAATAGGGCTGGGTAAAAAATATCGATATCTCGATATTAATCGATTCTCTTTTTTACGGAACGATAACGATTATTAAATCCCAAGAATCGATTAGAGTAACCTGTTTTCAGTTAATGGACGGAACATTGAAGGGCACTTCCCATCCAATAAATCGCAATAAGCATTGTGCTTTGGTGCTTTTAATATGAAACAGTCTCAGGTTTCAATTTATGTCCATTGTATTGCAGTATTCAAACAATAAATGCCGTTTTGGCGCTGTTTAATGTGGAGTGACAGATCGCTGTAGCGCCTCAGATCAACAAACGCAGCAGCGCGAGGCGCACGTGAACTGATCATCTCCTCCACATTAATACCAGCTTCAACACAAAATAAACATGACTAAACATCCGAAGGTAAGTTAAAAGAAAGAGTACAACTTTACAATCCGTATCCTGTCTCATGTAATTGCTCAATCAGTGTTTCCTCCGCGCAAAGACGTCAATATAACGTCTTGTAAACAATGTCACGTAACGTCACATTTACCTCAGAAACAACATATTCGGTGACCATAAACTCATTAGTCAGATAGAAAAATAAACTGTAGAGAGGGGTATTTTGCTAAATATATGCACCACATAACATATTCATTATAATTTTTACTGTTCTAATGTTTAATTTATGTTTGAATAAATCCATAATTTTTTTATGACAGCCACCATTAAAATTTTTATATAAAAAAACGAATTGAAGTAGAAATATTATGTATTTGTAACTTTATTATTTTAAAAACTTCATTGTGTAATTTTAACAGTTGTATGCTATAGCTTACAAATCAGTCAGTTTTAACCTTCGATATTATAGTAATGTAGTACCAAATGACTCATGTATAGTTTACAGCATTATAGTTGAGAGATTATTTTTCCTTAAGAAAATTTGGCAAGTTGTACCTGATATAGTATATCCAAAATAATCGATATTGAATCGAATCGAAAGCTTGTGAATGAGAATCGAATCGAATCGAATCGTGAAATTTGTGTCAAAACCCAGCCCTAATATCGAATACTATAAATGCATGGCACACAATGCAAACTTCCTGTCAATGTCCAATATTCTTTAATTGTGTTATGTGCTGTGACCACGTTCTTTTTTGTAATGTCTTTGTTTCAAAACCTGTGAGCTGCCTAGCTAGACAGCATTTTAAGGCATTTTATGTGAACAGTACTTTGTGACCGATTTCATTGCACTTTTATAACTGAATTTTTTATTTATTTATTTACTTTTAAGTTTGTTCATATCAAAGCAGCAGTATATGTTGGCAGTATACGGCAAAGCAGATCACTGGTTTTTGGAGCAAAGTTTATACAGTATTTTGTGTCCATCTACACTCTCTTTTAAGCTTTGATGGGTTTTTCTTCAATTGGATGGAGATGTTTAAAAGTTTGGCCATGTTTTCATGTAGCCTATGTTGCCACTTTGGCCTACAAATCACCATTGGATGGAAGGTTTACTGAGTTTTGGAGACAAAGTGCAACCTTGCAGTAATATCTGAACATTTTCTCTGAAGAAAAGCACAAGACTCTTTAGAAGTGTAATACAGCTTCTGTCGGCCTGCTGTGTTTTATTGTTCTTGTTTATTTTATTTTATTTATTTTTTTTTGTGTAGTTTAGTTTATTATTTTATTTTATTATTAAATATCATTTTATTATATACATTATTTTATTTATTCATTCATTTGATCAATTTTATTATTTTTTTCTTTATTTTTTTGTTTTGTTTTTATCTGTATTTTTATGTTGTTTTCCATTTGTTCCATACAGCAGATTACTTGTTAAAATGCTTTATTTATTAAAAAAAATAAAAATGGGTCATCATGTAATTTTCAATGCTTGATTGCTGATATCGAGAAAGCAGAATGACTGTTGGCCGATATATGATACAATTTCGTTATGAGACACATTTTGTTTTCCACTGCTGTTCATTCCCTGCCTCTGTCTTTCCCTCGTCTGAATATCTCAGTTTAAAAAAAAACACGCAGCTGGGTATGGTGGACACCTATTGATATGTTTATTGCTTGCAGTTTCCCCTCTCGTTCCGGAGAGAGTGAGAGGGATGGTGGAGGTGTGATAAATGTTGCGGGGCGTTTGGGTCTGAAGTGATCGCGCCAAAGCAGCGCAGCAGTAGTACGGAAGATTGATTTCTCTTTTGCAATTCTCCCCAACGTCTGCGATTAATGACCCTGTACGCTCGCCATCCATCAGCATTTTCCCTTGCTACTACACCAGCCCTCATCCAGGCTCCAAAAGCCCACCTATGGCACCACGGCATACCCTGCGGCCGCGCATTAGCATGTTGCTAATGCTCTAACATATTCACCTCTTTCTGTCAGATTAATAATGCTACTGTTACCCTGCACCTGTCCAACAGGCAAATCCCCTACCCGTACAACACCTTCCCTCGATGGGGGGCTTCATGTTGGACACGGACCCTCAGTGGCCGAAAGCCAAAACATTGCTTGATCATACATATGTCTCTTCTTTTATAGCTATTCTAGTGAGGCTTAACCACGTACAGTAGGATTTACAGTCTTAAATCCGCTTAGGTGACACTTTTAGATGGGATGCAACATAGATTAGCTATAATCTGACCTACAGGAGCAAAGGATTTGGGGTTTTGTGACATTTGTTGTTATTTTTCAATTTGCTCAACTAAGAGTTTAGCATCAGTGCAAATCTTCTGCAGAGAACCTGAAATGAGGCATCGGCTTCATGTTTACATTTAGGTACAGACAACAAAGCAGTTATGGATCTGTCTGGTTTACTTGATCTTCAACAGAATGCAGTTGAATAAGCAATGCTTCAAACTTTGTAAGTCTAAAATTCCCATGTGTAGGAGCCACTGATGACTGAACCATTGAAGCTGAAAAACGCTTATGTCTGTCCTAGATGTGACACAGTTCTCACAATGCTCAAATTGCTCTGCACCCAGAAACTCTCAGAACTTTGAGAACGAAAGTGCCCTAAGAGGGCTGCAACGATGTAAACTATCTTAAGACATTAAAACTCCCTTTCACATGCAGCTCCCTCAAGATTCATCCAAGGCCAAAGTCAAAAACCAGTTGCCTGGCTCTTTTATAATTTTCGTCTAATCTAGAGGAATTAGTGTGAGAGATTGTGTCCAACAACCCCACTGGATCCACTGGCAAATCTCTGATACTGTTTGTTTCACTGTTCGATATTGTTCTAGGATTTATACAACAATTTCAAGTGTATACAACAGAGGATAGTTGTAATACTTAGTTGTAGCATTTATTTATTTATTGAAAATTCTTGCAATTTTGATTACAAAAGTGGTGATCTGCTAAAAAAATAAAAAATTCAAAGATCTTTGACATCATTTAGAGAGCAGGTTGTCCAAAAATAATGCTGAAATATAAGGGATGCTTAATGCTGTAAGTAATAATGTACTGTACAGTGAGACAATCATTATTGAAGGTTGTTTTATTTTTAATTATTAAAAAATATATATTAGTTGAAATTATTTTGTGAAAAGAATTGTATAGAAATATTTGACTGCAAAATGCAACAACTGACCAATCAGAATCAAGTATTTCACAGAACCATGTGATAATATTATTTAATGAGTTTAGATTGCTTTATAATTTTTAAATATATTCCATCCAAATTTTTGCTGTCAGTTTTATTCAGCAGGTTAAATTGACCAAAATCAACAGTGAAGTCTTTTATATTGTCAAATTTTTATTCATCAAAGAATCCTGGGAAAAATCAAATGTATCACAGTTTCCACAAAAATATTAAGCAGCACAACTGTTTTTAACATTGATGATAATAAGAAATGTTTCTTGAGCTGCGAATCAGCATAGAATGATTTCTGAAGGATCATGTGACACTGGAGTAATGATGCTGAAAATTCAGCTTGGCAGAACAGGAATAAATTACATTTTTAAATGTATTAAAATCGAAAACAGTTCTTTTTAATTTATAATGATATTTCACAATATTACTGTTCCTTTTATATTATTATTATTACTGTTTACTGTAATTTTGATTAAAAAAAATGCAGCCTTGGTGAACAGAAGAACACTCTTATCTCTTTTGATAATTTTTTCTAATATGACTCATGACAAATTGACAATGTAATGAAAATTTCCCATCATTTTTATCGCTGACCTTCCCTTCCTTTCTGTTTCTCCCCACAGATCCAGTCAACGGTCCCCAGAACGTGAACGTGGTGGACATCCGCGCCCGTCAGCTGACCCTGCAGTGGGAGACCTTCGGATATGCAGTGACACGCTGCCACAGTTTCAACCTGACCGTACAGTACCAGTATGTGTTCAACCAGCAGGAGTTTGCCGCTGAGGAGCTGATACCGACCTCCTCTCATTATACTCTGAGGGGACTCAGGCCTTTCGTGACAGTCAAACTACGGCTGGTGCTGGCCAACCCTGAGGGCAGCAAGGAGAGCGAGGAGATCGTCAAGCAGACGGAGGAAGATGGTGAGTGGGATTAAGATGGTGGAATGGGATAGATGTTGTAAATTGTGAAACCTTTCATTTTTACTGGCTTTAATTAAGGGGGGTCAGAACCCTCAAACTAAGGATTCGTCGATCCAGCACTCAGTATTAGTATCTGGTTTTTTTTTTTTTTTGTCTGATCATGTAACGTCCATCCCTACTCCAAACTTTTCCATAGTTTGCACCCTGACTTCTCCTTCTTATCATGAGATTACTTCACTAAATACTGTGTCTGAACAGTAATCACATTATGATGATCACTTATGACTTTATTTCTGAAACCCATCATCCTTAAGCAGATGGACAACACAAGATGCCAAACTGTCCATCCGGTTGTAAATTCAATAGATCACTCATTCTCCAGAACATGATTTCACTCTTATATTCTTTTCTGTAAATGTTACAAAAATTCATAGTAAGGCAAGGCAAGTATATTTATGTAACACACAGTAGTAATTCAAAGTGCTTTACAAAAAAATATATATTTAAAAAATTGTAATCATAAATTTCATAAATACTATAAAAGTAAGAAGTAAAAAATTGAAGAAAAGAGAATAAGCTAAAATGCAATAAGATTCTACATTAAAATGGATGAATAATTTGAATAATATGAGTGTTTTATATACTGCATGCAAAAAAATTAATTGTGTTGTTTTCTGTGTTAAACTTGAGTTCACAGATGAGCAATTTTGTATTCTTCTGTAATTTAATTCATTTTGTTTATTTACAAATAAAAGAAATGCACTAATGCTTGTTTACATGGTCCGCGTGGTTCACTTCATATAAAAGAAGTTATAAAAGAAGACCTGACAGAACATTACCATGGCTACTCAACAATAAATGATCAAATAAAGAAATGGACATGTAATATGTGGACATTATTTTATCTTCTGATAAGAATGAGACCATGGAGTGCTATAAGAGACATGAAACTAGCACAGTATAGGAAATTGATTGCTAGGCACAACAATTATACAGTTTAGAGGTCATTATTCAAACAATATTTGATTATCCAATCAGAATCAAGTAGTCCAGAGAGCCATGTTAACATTTGTTAATCTTTTTTTTCCCACTGTACACTCTTTCTCTCCCTTTATTTATCTGCATGGTTTCATTTGCAACCAGTGTTATATTGCATACATTTTTCTATTTGTATACTGACAGCAAAACTCTCATAACAGCTATATTTGAAATTGAATATCTATTGTTATATTCTTTAATACCTAAGTGCTGGTTAGGCTTATTAGAAAACTTCCTGGATAAGAGTTATAATTGTGAGCATTATAAATACTTTGATTGTATTCTTCTTGAATTGATATCTTTTTACTTGTAGGTTGTTTGAGGAACATTTTAAATGGTGCTTTGTACAGAAATCATTAACACTTGTTCTTTCATTGAATCTCACTAGACATTTGAATTAAACAAGAACAGAAGTAATGACTACTAATCTTCACTGGAAGAATTGCACGTGTACAGAAAGATTGGAGGTTAATGTTTCTGTTCAATGTTGCTAATATTCAGCATCAGGGACTCTGCTATTAGCTAATGTTGACAGCTGTAGATTTGGCAAATTAGTTTGACAACATGCATGGCCCTTATTCTCAAATACGAAAATGAGAATAGTTCAATGATCTCAGCCCATTATTTCAATTATCCAGCATTTTAATTAATGACTCTTACCTCTGGTTCTTGAAAGCTGAAGGGCCTTTGGTTTAGTTTTTTAAGTCTTTGTCTCAGAGCACTTTCCAGCTGAATGCATTTCTGAAGCTTTTCAGAGGGCAGCGGTGGAAATTCAGTGATTTCATTTCGGGAAATGCTATTCAATAGTGATCATTTACAACCTCTTACTTTTGCACTGTGGTCAAAAATAAACAGTGTAGATTTCCAAAAATAGTTTAAAAGCCGGTAAATTCTGTTCTTGGTTTAATTTTTATAGCCTAAGGGATTCTTACTGCCTCCATTTAAAATGTTCCTCAAACAACCTTCAAGCAAAAAGATATCAATTCAAGTAGAAGAAAATCAATGTATTTTAGTGCTCACAATTATATCTCTTACCCACAGAGTTTTCTAATTAGGCTAAACCAGCACTTAGATATTAAAGAAAAAAGAGAGAGAGAAAAAGAGTGTACAGTGAGAACAAAACAAAAAAAGATTAACAAATGTTAACATGGCTCTCCAATCGGAATACTTGATTCCGATTGGATAATCAAATAGTGTTTGTATAATGACCACTAAACTGTATAATTATTGTGCCTAGCAATCAATTTCCTATACTATACATTTATTGTTGAGTAGCCATGGTAATGTTCTGTCAGGTCTTCTTTTATAACTTCTTTTATATGAAATGAACCACGAGGCAAGTGATCTGTATTCCCTCTTAATGTACATTATATTTTGTACTTAAAGTTGGTGCAATTGTTATCAGTTGATTTAGTTCGGGAAAGTTAATTCTGCTAGTAAAGGAAACCAGTGTACTTTTTAAATGAACCCATATTTAATTAAAACCCGTGTACACATTAAATTGTTGTTCAGTAATAGTTCAACTTTATAAAAATCATCATTGTTATACTTTTGTAAAATATTTTGAAAGTATTTTAATAATGCATCCTCTCATATCTCAGAAGTTTTAATGCTCATAGCGAAAGTGTTTGCATTGTAAGACATTAGATTGTCTTGTGTATTTGAGAATCACTACAGTTCTGTACAGAAGTCAGATCCACTCAGAGAAGTAAATGGAAACAGAATTCTTTAGACTGTAGTACTGCTCTGCTCTTCCCGATAGAAAAACAACAAAGATGATGAAAGCCGTCCTCCTTTAATCCATCTGTTCCATTGATGTGTTGCAGTTAAAAGGAAATCCCAACGTAGAGCATGTTAAAGCTTCACAGTCTGTGAAAAGACACAGTGTTTCTCAGACCGAGAGAAGGTTTGCAAGCGGCGCTTAATTCAAAAATTTCCCAGTGGGAAGCGCTCAGACTCCGTTTACAATTAATTTCTCCCAGCTTGTTTTTAATGCTGAGCAATAAAACCGTATGAAAATAAAGGCTATTGTCAAGCCTTAGATTATTAGATTATAGCGTATAATTCAAGCGTTCGTTTTTCATTTTCATGTTCTGATGAATCTGTTTTGATCTGGATAGAACTCTTTTGGTTATTCAGTATCTGCTCTTGTCTGCCCCACTGATGTTTTTCCTTTTTTGTGTGTTTTTTGCATATGAAAACCTATAATTGCTGTCCTTTGTGTTAGCAAATTGATGGACAGCTGCAACATATCAATAGTGAAGCAAATTTCTCTCTCTGTGTAACCTTATATGGGGATAATTGCAGGAGGGTGAAATTAACATGAGGACGGCAGACAGTTTTTTACCTTATTAGGTCAACAACAACACCGACCCTGTACTTACGGAAACCTGCTTGCCTGTAAACAAGAGTGAATATGTTGTTCGTGATTTATTCAGAGACGGAAAATAATCAGACGATAATAATTACGCAACCTATTAAAAGTTATTTGTATCTGAGAGGGACAAGCATAAAGGGGAAAACTTTAATGAAACATCACTCATAGTCTCCACACGAGAAGCTAATCAGCTGGATTAATACGTAAAGCAACATTTCTCGCACATGCAGGGTTGTATAGAGGAAACGATAGTGGACGGAGGATGGGAGCTAATTATATTTCAGTGCAACCGTGATTTAATGTGCTTGTTGGCTAATGCCCAATCAAGCAATTTGAAGAATTGTTGAAAATATAATTTAACTGCCCTCACTTTGCAGTACAATATCTGACATCAGCACCTTGGTGAGAGAGCGTTATTCACCTTGTCTTTGATTAGCTCAATTATTTTCCCATTGACTATTCAGCGTTTAAAAGCAAATAAGGGCAAATAACTCAACCTCGCTACCTTTTAAAGATGAATTTATTCGTATACTTCAGATTAATAATCTGAAATAATGAAATGAGATACAACTCCATTCAGTTCCACATACATTTCCAAAATACAAACACAACGCCAATGGCAAATGATCTGTATTCACTCTAAATTAGATTATATTCATATCCATTTTCTCTTACAACATAAAGTTTGGTGCAGTTGTTCTCATACATTAGTTCAGAAAATTATTTCTATTAATAAAGCAAACCAGTGTACTTTCTAAGTGAATCAGTATTTAACTGAAACTCATGTGCACGTTAAATTGTTGTTCAGTAATGGTGAAACTTTGGAAGAAAATGTCATTATTGCACAAATCATAATTGTATGGACATTGGCTAGACATGATTTTAATGTTTTAATAATGCATCCTCTCAGATCTCAGCAGCTGTAAAGCTCCCAGTAAAAGTGTGTTATTTTAAGATAAGCTGATTAGCTCAAACCATTTCACATTAAAGAATACATTCCAAAAACTATTTAGCTTTTAATAGTGTTTTATGGCAAATATCTCAACCTTTCTACCTTTTGAAGATGAACTTAGTCGTATGCAATATAAACAAACAGAAAAGATGAGATGAGATCATCTCTTTTTTTCTCATTAATTGGAAGAAACAATTAAACGTCTCATAACTTAATATTTTGAACTATTACAGAATTAAGAGAACAAAAAAAAAAGAACTTACAAACAGTATTATATGCATAGACATATTTATATACACATCCAAATAAAATAAGTTAAAGCAAACCAGTGTAAAAATAAAAAAGTAAAAATTAATTAAAGTTCTTGTACACATGACATTGTTGTTCAGTAATTAATCATAATTGTGTGGACATTGACTAGAAATTATTTGTGTGCTTTATTAATGAATCTTCTCAAATCTCAGGACAGTGAAGGTGTTTGTGTTTTAAGTTATTAGATCGGCTTAAATATTTTCCCATTGAAAAATAGATGCTTAAGACTATTCAGCGTTTAATAATAAATGAAGGCAAATATCTCAACCTCTCAACATTTTGAAGATGAGCCAGTTACATGCAAAAGAAATAAACAGAAATTAGATTAAATCTGTTCAAGGAGGAAAAAGAAACATTCTCTTTTGTTAAATAAATGAGATTCTCAAAATAAAAATACAGCTAGATTAGCTTTTCCTCAATGAAATAGTTCATGGATTAGGTTTGTGGGTTGTGTCTGTGTTAATGAAATGTTGCATGAACAGTAGATGTTGTTATTCTTTTCTTCGCCGTTCAAGACGACCACCAGCTAATCTGTTTGTGCCCAAGCTTCCTCTCCCGCTTGCCCCGTTACGGCCCTGCCACGCTCATCTCTTTAATCTGCCCTCCCAATTAGCCTCGACTTAGTGCGAAGCAAACAGCAGTGCTAGGGCTGCTAAGTTGGACTAAACGTCCTTTTAGCTAAGTCATTAGCTCTCTTTGCGCACACTGTCAGGAACAGTCTGACTCATTAGTGTGTCATCGCAAACAGTCATGTCAGAGACGCTAACCAAGACTGAGAAATGAAAGACAACTAGCCTCAAGTTAACATACTGTATGTGCTATTGCTAAACCGGACCAAATTAGCACATTTGCATGCTAATTTATGAAATTGTCAAGTCATAGCATCTCTGAAAATGCTATGTTGGCATATGAGAGCAGGATGAAGCTGTGTATGGATAATGACATCTTGAAAACAGGTTTTTAGGGTGTTAATGATGTTCTAGCAAGAGTATATTTGGAAAACTTGCAATGTGTGCCAGAGGGGACGTGCGCACAAAAATATGCAAACAGACACACGCATATGTGCGCAGTGGTACTCGTAGCACTTGTTAACACCTCTCGATACCGAAGGGTAGCAAAGCTGTTACAATTCACACTTCGAACATTGCAGCTGAGGTGTGTTTGACATAGTTTTGCTTCTTTAGTCAGCCAGTCTCTGCTCGCCTCACTTTACCTTCTACCCAGCAACACAAGCCATTTCTGTCACCCTACGTCATCTCAAAACAATCACGTTTTATGTCAAGGTATTAATGCAGTGGTACAGTATTTGAATTATAGATGTTGACTAAACATGTTTTTGAGTTGCTAAATGAGTTTGAATGTGTGTTTGTGTTACTATACTAGTTCCTGGCCCCATTCCTATGGAGTCCATTCAGACAGGCCCATACGAGGAGAAGATCTTCATGCAGTGGAAGGCCCCGAATGAAACTAATGGAGTCATTACACTCTATGAGGTGAGAAAATGCTAAATGTATATATTTTTTATTTATATTTTATGTATTTATAATGTATATAAATATAATATTATCAGGGTTTCTGTAGGTCTTAGAAAGGTCTTAATTTGCCCTTCCACACATTAAGGCCTTAAAAAGTCTTAAATCAAAACAGAAAGTCTTAAATTCATAAAGTCATGGCATTAAATGGTGCATGCATTGCAAAAAATGAATATCTTCCTCAGTATTTTCAACACAAATGTGACCCTGGAGCACAAAAGCAGTCTTAAGTCGCTGGGGTATATTTGTAGCAATAGCTAAAAAAAAATTGGATGGGTCAAAATGATTGATTTTTCTTTTATGCCAAAAATCATTAGGATATTAAGTAAAGATCATGTTCCATGAAAATATTTTGTAAATTTCCTACTGTTAATATATTAAAACTTAATTTTTGATTAGTAATATGCATTGCTAAAGACTTCATTTAGACAACTTTAAAGGCGATTTTCTTAATATTTAGTTTTTTTTTCACCCTCAGATTCCAGATTTTCAAATAGTTGTAGCTCGGACAAATATTGTCCTGTCCTAACAAACCATACATCAATGGAAAGCTTATTTATTCAGATGATGTATAAATCTCAATTTCGAAAAATTGACCCTTATGACTGGTTTTGTGGTCCAGGGTCACAAATATTCAAACATCCTTAAATCAAGATGTCTCAAGATTTACTTGAGATGCTAAAGGAAAACGAAGTCTTAAAAAACTGAACAAAATTATGTCAGTTATGCTTTAAACAACAACAAATATCTGTCGATGGGGTACTTGTTTTAATTAAGTTTAATCCAGTTGATTGGCAGATATTCGGTCTTGTTTTAATCATGCAGTCACTTCATTCTGATCAATTCCACAGAAAACAAGACTCCTTATCTTATGTCATTTGCTTCTCAAGTAAACATATCTTGATTTAAGAATCTTTAGACATACTGTATGTGCAGGAAAACAAGATTTCCAGATTCCAGTGGTTGGGACCAGAGGTATTAATTGTTATACTATCTTTGCTACAATTAATAAAAAAATTATGTAGATAGGTTGGAAGTTGCATTTGCATGCTTGGGACTGAAATGTTGCTGTTGCTGATGTGTGTATGTGTGTGTCTCAAAACTATATATCAATGTAAATTTATGTGGTAAAATTAGGTGGCAGGATACTAATTTGGTAAAAAATATTGCACAAAAATAAGTGATTTTTCTGTTGCAGGAAATGTTGTTTGACAGCCCGGATCTCTCTCAAATTAATGATTTGTTAGTCAATGCATAGAATATCCACATTACAAGCAAGGAAATGAAGTCACGGCATGACAAAAACAAATTACATACAGATTTTACTTTAATGTGTCTGTTTGAGTGGGCTGGAGGCACAAAAGAGCCTCACTATCTCTTTGATTTGATGAGGAAGACAAACCATGTGCAAGACATTCTACATATCCAGGTACATCATTAAAACGGGGTTACAGCGTGTGCCATCTTGGTGATAAGAAGATTGACAGAATATACTAAATGTATCGAGCGGACACAATGCAGTCCAATTTGGCCGGATAATTGCTATAATAGCCCTCATTGATTTAATTAGAAGCGTCCAATAGAATTATCCAAGAGATCTGAGCAGCCGTATGCCTCCTCTCCTCGCTTTCAGTGATTCAGACAAATTAGACATAGGACAAAGAGCTCGGAAGCAGGAAAAGGCAGGTGCAGAGATGAATGCAGTGGAAGGGTCACAAAAGGATATGGTTTTGTTCGTGGCAAGCAAGTTTCTTGATTCAAAGCTTTAGGAAAGTTTGGAGACTCATGGAAATAAAATAGGACTGCAACAACCTGCAATAATAACATTAAAAGTTGATAGTGGGTTTTTTTTCTTCATTTTGTTTTTGAGAGTGTGAAAGGTTATTTGCAATATGCTGTATAAGATCAAATTAATAGTTTAAACATGTTTTTAATGTTATATTGTATACTGTATATGTATCATCACATACAATGCTGCATATACAGTATGTAATGCTTTTATTGCTATGTATGTTATTTTACATGCATAAAATTGTGTTTATATATAAACCATATTAAAAACTATATATATATATATATATA